ATTAGAAAGACCCTTGAGAATGGGGGACATATCGAGAGACAGTTCAGGCTCGAATTCACTTGATATCAAGATCGAAGTTGCGATAACAATTGAGCAACTAGACAGCGTAAAACGTATCACGTGAGCCACTCCAGGCCTCCAACATGCAAGGTCCAATATATGACGCCAGCATCAAAACAGGAGTCATGGGGATGATGTTCTGCATGGGTCGTGCTCTGACACCTTCCCATGGAAATGAAATATACGGTATCAAGTTCGAGAAATACTGTTGGGAGACAATATACTGATAAGAAAACTTCCCATCATCTGGAGCTATTGCGCCGTCCTTGGATTGGCGCTGCACGACTCAAAACGCACAGAGACGTAACGATGGTCACATGGCCCAGAGAGCAAAGCAAGAAGGGCTGACAATCTGCGAATAAGATGAGCGAGCAAGACAGCCAGTCAGCAGATACCAACCCCCTGTGGAACGGCGCCTGCACAGGGCACTTGGCCGCAGGACACCCCACAGAGACACGCGCGCCTCGACGGCCACGCACAGAGGGGTGAGAGAAGAGGACAATTAAGAGGACAACTGCGGGTGCCCCCCACGGCCTGGCCTGAGACAACTTCCACAGTCCCATCGGAATCCCGGGGGATCCCAGACTGCGGGATGGAATCGCCGTAAACGGAGGCCAAGAATTCCTGAAAGCACGCTTCAGGCAAAGCCCTTGGGTCACAGGGAGGTCCCATGTCTTTCCTGGGCTCGCGCAACGAGGAGGAGACGGTGTCCGCCGTCCGAAACCTCCAGCGCTCGTCTACCTCGGGAGAAAATGATCGGGCAAACGCCACCATGACGTGCACGATCGCATTGTCAGTACTTCCGCGCGTGGTGTCAGGTTGGATGTGCCTGACTGCCTGTAGTAGCAATATCCCTCACCCCTGGGCGGGGGCAGGTCGGTGGGTCGACGCTGGGGAGCCCATCCAGGAGGCTGGTGGGTGGCCGAGCGGGGTCCGTTGTAGATTTCCCCTGCGCACCGCCCTCTGTCCTTGGCGCTGATGCTGACGACTCGGCTGGGGTCGCGTCCTGGCGCGGGGGATGCGAGAGTCAGCAGGGCGGCGGCCCGACGACTCCCTGCCCCGACGGATTAAGGATTGCCACGAGGCGCCGGGGTCGCAGCTGGTCTGGGGCGCACGCGAGGTTGCCGCCCGACAACCGGGGGAGTGGCTGGAGAGCGCTCATGAGGTGGACCTGCTCTTCTGGGTGGTCTGCCAGCGTTGCACGGCCTGCTGGAATGCAGGGTGCGAGGGCGCCGTCGGCGAGCTGGCCGGGATCGGAGACGCTGTCGATGCAAGGCAGGCGGGTCGGAGGCGCCCGCGGCCCTCGCTTCCTGCTGCGGGGCGCCCGCCTCTGGCTTGACTGACCGCTGCGTCGGCGCAGTAGCTGTGAGTTTCTCGGCGCCGGGAGAGGCGATTCCTTGCCCCTTGTGGCCGCAGCTCTGGGAAACAGGGCGCGGCCGTCCCTCTCGAGGATGGCCTTGACCTAGCTTGGGCGAGCATCCCACAGGTGCAGAAGGCAATCATCACAGAACCACGTAGCGTCCCACTGCATGTTTGCGAAGGCCTGCGATCGTCTTCTGGGCCGATGCTGGGGGAGAGAGCACGGCTCCGGGCGCGGCGCCGGTCGGGAGGCAGCGTAGAAGTCGTTCCCCGCCCCCGACAGCCCACCCCCCAGGCACTGCGGGCTGGCGGCCCAGTGGCCCTTTCTTGGAGGAGGCCCACGCTGGACACGAGCAGGGCCTGCGAGAGGGTGCACACGGCGCAGCCGCGGGTCTGAAGGCAAGAAAGGTCTGCCAAGGGGGCGAGCTGAGCCGGGACCTCCAGAATAAGCTTCAAAGGGAAGTGTCCGTGGGAGGCGCCCCTGCGCGGCACGATGGCCTGATCCCCCTCGACGTTAGGATGGCGATGCGCCACGGTGACCAGACTGGAGCACGCCTTGGTGAAAGCCTCCAGGCGCCAGTGGACTCTGCGGAAGTCGGCGCCCACATGGTTGCGAGCCCCGCCAAAGCTGTCCCGCACTGGCAGGGGCGCGTGGTCGTAGGGGAGGCAGATGCCCAGCGTGGCCTCGAGGACATCGCCAACGTGGCCGGAACTACTGTAGGGCGCCAACTTGGGCCTGGGTTCTCTGATGAGGAGGAGCATTTGGTGGCGTTCGCCCTTGCGCGCTCGATGGTGGCCCCGCTGCTATCCTGAAGCAGGCTGGAGGGTCCGTCGAGGGGCCGCTCCTGCTGGTCAGTGAGCGTCGCCAGGTGTTGCAGAGTGGGCGCGCCCTGGTGACGAATGCACTTCGCATGTGCTTGCGCTCCATACCGCAGGGGGGTGTCTGGCCGCGCCCTTGGGGGGCGGTCAGCGCGGCGGTTCCATCGAGATTCGGATCTCCCTCTCGCAGGAGGGGGGAGGGAGGCGGTCTTCTTCGATGGCTCGGTCGGGGGCTGCGCTGGGCTGCAGCCCAGCCACACATGTAACAAGCCTGCCCAGGCCGCGGTGTAAACATGGTTGGAGGCGTCAATGCCCAGCTCGTGGACGCACAGGTAAAGCATTGGGCTCGCTGCTCGTCAAATCGCCGAGACTTCCTGTTGTCACTGCGCCACCCTTGCTCAGCTGAGAGCCGAGCTTGTTCGTCCTGGGAGGGGAGCGGGGTGCGCGCGCACATTGGCGCCTCTCGTACTTTGCCAAGTGAAAGGCTGACGGGTTCATTCAGCGTACTGCGATGGCCCAGGATGCCCTCGAAGCTAGTCCAGAGCCCAGCGGCTTCCGCCCATCCCGAAAGGTGTACTTTGGACTCGGTAGCAGCAGCGGCCATCCGGGAATTTAGCATGACGACTACTCCTTCCTGCACCCTTGCAAGGGCCACGTTGACGCGATGGGGGTCATCAGTAAAGCCCCAGTGCCCAGTGAAGTTCGCGCGGGCGGTGCAGAGGATCACAGATTGGCCTCGTCGCCTTTGTTGCCGTCGATGGTGGAATCGCTGAATGGGAGCCGGCGGTAAACCGTCAACCTTGGTTACCGCCAGGAACTCGTAGAGCTTCCTCGTGCAATGCGGGCGCGGCAATCTCGCATTGCGCGCGCGAGGGCGCGGTCTCATGAAGGAGGACGTGGAGGAGAAGAAGGAGTGAGGAGAAGCATCTGGATATTTCGAACTAGCGCGTCTGATACATTCCTTGCGACTCTGTGCCAAACAGCTTTGCAGCTCCTCTGCAGCTCGAGTTACCCTAGAAAGTACCATCCTCTTTCTAAAGTTTTAACAGAGTACGAATCGTTTTCCTGACCCAGTTCTGGTAGCAGACCGAATTCAGGCGTCTAGATACTTTAGACAAGCGCTTCTTATCATTTCCTTTCGACTCATATGACAAACAGCTATGTAGCTCATCTCCAGCTCGAGTTAAGTCAAGAAACCATGAACAACTCATTTTATATATATATATACATATATATATATATATATATATATATACGAACAGGTTTTCGAAACCAGCTCTGGAAGCAGATCGAGTTCAGGCGTCTAGATTATGTAGACTCGCGCGCCTGATGATTTTCTTATGATTGCTGTGCCGAACAACTTTTTTCACCTAGTCTGCAGCTCAAGTTTAGTCAAGGAAACCATCAGCATCTTCAAAAAAATCAGCAGAGCACGAATAGGTTTTCGGACCCAGCTATGATAGCAGACCGAGTTCAGGCGTCTAGATATTTTGAGCTGGCGCGCCTGATGATTTCCTTCCGAAATATGTGCCGAACAGCTCTGTAGCTCGTCTGCAGCTCGAGTTAAGTCAAGAAAACCATCACTATCTCTAAAATTAGAGAGTAAGAATAGCTGTTTCGGACCGAGCTTTGATAGCAGACCGAATTCAGGCGTCTATAGACTAGCGCCTCTGATGATTTCCTCCAGGTTGCTGTGCCGAAGAGCTCTGTAGCTCATCTGCAGCTCGAGTTAAGTCAGGAAGCCCATCATCATCTCCAAAACAATTAGTAGAGTACGAATAGTTTCGCGGACCTAGCTCTGGCAGCAGACCGAGTTCCGACCTCTAGATGCTTGAGACGAACGCGCCTGATGATTCTGGATCGATTAGGTGTCCATACCAGCTCTGTAGCGCTCCTACAGCTCGATTTAAGTACAGAAAACCGACAGCACCTGCCAAGATGACACAAAACAGCCGATCCCGCCCCAGTGCTTTTTGGCAGTAATAGGTACCCGATCGAGCTGAGATTAAAATGGCGAGCGGGAATAAGATCGAAGACGGGGGAAAAATACTAGAGCTCTAACGAATTTTGAAATTACGAGAAATCGACTTTCAACCGAGCAAAAGTATGCAAAACTTCTGTCGGGATTTGTTTGCCAACTAGCCCCCCAGCGCGCCGGAATGGGAGCCAGCGGCAAACCGTCAACCTTGGTTTTTTGCGGTTTGCGGTCAGAGCTGGCAGCGCTGGTGTCAGCGCCGCTCGGCGTCCTGCCACAACTGTCGCATTGCAGTTTCGCAATCCCAGGAGCTCCGAGAGAGGGGGCACTACAGGCACAGCCTAACTATGTCCTGCACTCATCTTAGAAGCTGAGTCGCTGCACAGAGTTCCGCGGACGTGATAGAGGTGTGGAGGGGGAGGGAGAAGGAGTGAAAAGCAACATCTTCATACCACTGCTGGGCACAAGATGGGGGAAAAGAAGAGCCTGGAAGGACACTACTCACGTACACGTCACATACCCATCCTGCACCAACTCTTTCAGTCGAGACGCCCCCGTCAAAGGCACCTCGTATCCCCGATGTTGTGATAGTCTTATGTTGACATTCTTTGATAAACCTCAAATCGAAAACTCGCTCCTGTCGTCCTCTCCTCGCATTCCAAGTCATCCGATCCGCCCTCGTATTGCCTTCTCTGTACACCCATTTGCAGATATCATGGCCTGCGCTCGGTGGAATAATCCCCGATGTCGTTGTAAGAAGATAAAGCAAGTTAGATACCTCCGCAACTTAATTCATATAAGTGAGATTGCTAGTATCATATAAGCCTGTCAGCCAATTCACAACCACCTGAGAGCCCCCACTTAACTCCATAGAAACATAACCTGGATAAAATTCCCAAGTGGACTGCCCTTCGCATATGTATGCCAATCTCCTGGAGGTCTCAATGTTCTTGGGGTGGAAGGGGTCCGTGGACATCTCCTCGTCCTCCTCCTTCCTCACATGTATGTTGTTGTTTCTAAGCACGAAACACGGTAACATGTGCTCGTAATTGTCAAGCTCTCGGAGCGCCTGACGGCAGAATTCGGTCCATCCTCTCTCCGACCACTGAAGATGGCCTCTCCACCAGAACTCACCTCCCACGGATTCGAGGATGCCAGCCCAGGAGTGGAAAGCCAGACGACGAGCACCGTTCGAACGACAGCCGCTGCGACTGATCTCACGAGCCTGCTGGGTTCCAAGATACTCGATGAACATGTCCATCGCCTGCGTCCAAGCAACATTTCCCACGATCATCAGAGTACGAACCTGCAGGTGTGCGTCGAGGATTGCCGACTTCTCCGTCTCCAGGGCACGCGGAGCAGGCTTGTGGCCAAGAATTTCTTTTAGCCTCTGAGTGTTGCCAGAGAGTTGGGTCCTCGTTTTCTTCAGACCAGCACGTTGGGTTGGGTCCCCCTTCATCTTGACGACTCCTTTTGGCACCTTGTCTTCCCTCCTCCTTCGCCTCCTTCAACATCCTCGTGTGTCGTTGTCGCCGATTCTCCGACATTGGGGCCTCCTCCTCCATCTCCTCCTGCATGCTGTTGGTGTGTGGGGACGTGGAAGCTGTAGAAGGGCAGGGTAAAAGGGGTGGAGGTGGTGGAAGTACATGACATAGGGAATCCGAGATATCCTTCGCCCACTCCCACCGTTTGCGTAGTACTCTTTGAACGAGACTCTCTCGCCCTGTCCGATGAAGCACTGCTTTCCCTGCTCGTATCCTACGTGTCAAGAAGAGAGTCCAGTTTTCATCCCGTCGTTTCGACCGCCACAGCACTTTGGCCAATAACCCTCCCTCCCTTGCGTGAATGAACTTGAGGCTGTTGGAGTCCATCGTGGCCACTTCGATTCCGTAGAGAAAGCACGCTTGCACACGACTACAGTATCGAGCAATATTTTTTTGCTGAGCGGCAGGGACCGATCGTAGTAGTAGCTTTTGTCACACCAGGAAGTTTACTCAGCTAGCTCCCACCTGTGATGCATGTCATCATGCCCCCGAAAACGTTTGCCTATCCTGACCCCCAAGACGTCCATGACATGCACGTGCTGTAATTCAACAGCTGGATCTACGTTATCAATAACCATGCGACCCTCAGCATCTGGCTACCCTTGGTTTTTGAGTTTGGGTTTGAGTCAGGGCGCGGGCAGCTGTGACAGCTGAGCCCTAAGACTCCCAAACGGAGCACAGGGTAGCTAGAGAAGGCATCTCATATCATCACACTGCCGAGCCACTGAGGCATAGGCATCGGAATAGGATGCAGGAACAAGGAAAAGGATGCAGCACGACATGTGAAATTACAAAGGTGTAGGAACAGGTTAGAGATGAAAGAGGCTACCCAAGACGTGCACCACGGCCATACAGAGCCGTTGCGCTGCAAACATCACACAGAACACGACAGAAGCAGAGGCATCAAGCGAGAAAGCTTCCTCCGCCACCAACAGCCACGTCCCGTGCACACACCAATCCAAACACCATTGTGCAGCACATCCCTCCACAGAGCGGCCTCCGTCGAAGAATCCACGGAGGCCGTCTAGTTTTGTCTTGCTCGCATGTTCAATAAGATACGCATGGAATGCAACGTAACAGTTTCTGCTTCTGGCCAACCATGTCAGCCTATGTGCAATCACTAAATCAATCAATCAATTGGGTATCCCGCCTTGGCCGCCAACTCGCGGTAGTTCTTTACATTGCGACGCATCCACTCATCCTGAAAATTCGTCACGTATCTCATAGCTTCCGAAACGCTTTTGGGAACGAGTCTGTGGTGCCTAAAGTCTCTGATGTCCGTCGACAGATGGGTCAAATTGGCTATCGGGCCAAGTCTCGCGCGATCCCGAAGAAGCGCTTCAAGCAACACAGCCTTTTCCTCGGCGCCCGAGGCCATAAGGCGATACAGCGTGGCGGCCGTGAAAGAGTGAACGAGCTTTACCCAGCCAGACTTGCGGAAGCAGTATTTCCTGATCCTTATATTACCCGCCAACTGAAGCAAATAATCTGCGCGGTTACGTTTCTCCTCGTCCTCCGTCACTGCTGAACTCACAACTGCATCGCCATTGGAACGGGCCCAGTCCCTGGCAGCTTGACACTCAGATCGATTGCTCTGCAACTCATCTGAACAGAGCCGGGAAGAAGAAGCACAGTTATCTTTACGCTGGTCAACTTCGCACTCTCCGTGGGTTTTCGAGGATGCCAACGGCAGCGCCTCGGGGCCTCCATCTTCCATTTGCACTCGAGAATAATCCAAAGGAGCTGAGTGCAGAGAATAATCCAAAGGAGCTGAGTGCAGAGAATAATCCAAGGGAACTGAGTGCAGTACAGCATCATTTGATTGAGAAGCAAGCGACGCTTTTTCAGCAGCAACTGCCGTAGAACTCTCCACGGATTCAACATGAACATTCTCCTCCTCCTCGTCCTTGAAATCCTTAAGATCCCCCTGCCAATCCTTTCCATGGCAAGCTGAGTCTCCGTCAGAAACTGAAGTGTGGCAAACTTCAGGGCGTGAGGCCGTATAATATGTATGATGAGAACAATGCAACTGCTCATTCAGCAACTCCTCATTCTGCAACCCCACATCCTGCAACTCCTCATCATGCAACTCCTCTTTCCGAACACCTGGGTCAACAGAAGCCGACAGAGTGTCAGGAAATGTAGTGTGGCAAACTTCAGAGCTTGAATCCAAGAAAACAGTATGCTGAGAATAATGCAACTTCTCATTCAGCGCCTCCTCACTCTGCAAATCCTCATCCTGAAACTCCTCGTCCTGCAACTCCTCATTCTGAACACCAGGATCAAAAGAAACAGAGCCCAGTCTCGACTGCAGCCCACCATCTGGAGACTGCACCACATCTGGAGAATACGCAACCGAATGAGACGAGAAAGCTTTTCCACGATCAGTTGGCCCAGCAGTTGGCACCGATAAGGAACTCAACAATATACTGACCTGCTCCTCCGAGTTCCCCTGAAACGGGCATGGATTTCGCGCGCAATCATCGAGGTTATCAAACCAGCCAAACGCGGGAAAAGTATTCGGATCAGCCACAAAATATGGATCACGAGCATTAAACTGCATAACATCAAATACAGCTTGTCTACGAATCGCCAGTTTGATTATCCTTGTTTTTTTTTCCAACTGGTCGAAACAGAACTCATCGAACAAAATTGCGCTGTCGTGATGCCGCACAAGGAAGGGGCACGCAAGAACAACTAATCAATCCAATGCCGACAGATCACCCGCTCGGCACTCAAAGATGGACGTTACGTGTGCATGCACAACCCGTCCGCACAATGCGGCTCGAGGGGTCCCCGACGGGCCAAGGCCGCGGGAGAGCGGGAGGTAAGCTCCGCTTCCGCAACCTTTTGTTACCACCGGGAACTCGTAGAGCTTCCCCGTGCAACGCGGGCGCGGCAATCCCGCATTGCGCGCGCGAGGGCGGGGTCTCATGGAGGAGGAAGTGAAGGAGAAGAAGGAGTGAGGAGAAAGGAGATAGAGCAGGGCGAGGAAGAGAAGCAGGAGGGGGAGAAGAAAGAGCAGGAGGAGAAGAAAGAGGGAAAGATCAAGAAAGGCATCGTCATCTCTGGACAAAAGAATAGAGCACGAATAGTTTTCTGGTTCCAACTCTGAAAGCGTGACGAGTTCGGGCATATGTAAATTCCGCCCGATTCTGTGCCAAACAGCTCTGTATATGATGGCAGACCGAATTCAGGCGCCTAGATACTTTAGACTAGCGCTTCTTATCTTTTTATTCCGACTTATGTGACAAACAGCTCTGTAGCTAATCTCCAGCTCGAGTTAAGTCAAGAAAACAATGACCATCTCGTTGGGGGGGGGGAAAAAAAAGTACGAATAGTTGTTTTCGAACCCCGCTCTCATACCAGACCGAGCTCAGGCGTCTGGATACTTGAGCTAGCGCGCCTGTTAATTGCCTTCCGACTGCTGAGCCGAACAGCTCTGTAGCTCATCTGCAGCTCGAGTTAAAACAAGAAAACCATCACCATCTCCAAAAAAAGAAGAGTACGAATAGTTGTTCGGCCCCAGCGCTGATAGCAGACAGAGTTCAAGCGTCCAGATACTTTAAACTAGCACGCCTGATGATTTCCTCCGATTGTTGTGCCGAACAGCTCTGTAGCTCATCTGCAACTCGAGTCAGGCCAAGAAAACCAATACCATCTCCAAAAAAATAGCAGAGTACGAATATGCTTTCGGCCCCAGCACTGATAGCAGACTGAGGTCAGGCGTCTGGATACTTTAAACTAGCGCGCCTGCTGATTTCCTTCCGAAAACTGTGCCGAACAGCTCTGCAGCTCTTCTGCAGCTCGAGTTAAGATAAGAAAACCAGCACCATCTTCAGAAAAAAAGGAGTACGAATAGCGCTTCGGCACCAGCGCTGATAGCAGACCGAAGTCAGGCGTCTAGATACTTTGAACTAGCGCGCCTGACGATTTCCTTCCCATTACTGCGCCAAATAGCTCTGTAGCTCATCTGCAGCTCGAGTTAGGTCAAGAAAACCATCACCATCTCCAAAAATTATCCTGGCGAAGGACCCAACCATATGCAGTTGTGAGTATCGCAATTGTGAGTATCTTCTTCGGTGGCGCTCCCTATGAGGCCACGAACCGCATGAGGGGTGCGCCGAAATGTGGCGGGGTACACAACGCAAAGGAATACGATAGATCTGATTACGAGAGAAAGAACGCGGGTGAGTCAGAGCGCGAGGGAATATGAGTATGAATGGGTCTGCGCGCGAGTGAATAGATTTGCATGAATGCGATCATGGAACCGCCTAGTGTAAGTGTCGAGCATGCCTGTCCGAACACACGTGACACTGGGCGTGGCCGCCGCAGGCAGCTTCCGCGGGAACCCCGACGGCAGCGTCCGCACGTCGCGACGCCCATGTCGGCGCGCCTCTTGCGAGGATCGCGCCCGCTTTCGGCTCTTCTTTTCCTTCCTCTTTGCCCGCGCACTCCAAAATCCAAGGCTGCGGGCGCAGCGCAGCGCGGGGTCCCCGCGACGCGCGCTGGTCGCCCCGGGCGGGGTCCCAGCGACGCGCGCGGGTCGTCCGCTGCGCGAAGCAGAGAGAGCTGACTAGCTAACTGGCTGGCTGATAGCGGGCAAGTCTCTGACCGCTGGGCAGAGCGACGACGGGCGAACGAGGCGCCGGGCCCCCCGCAGCACGGAGTTCCCGCGACGCGCGCTGGTCGCCCCGAGAGGGTCCCAGCGACGCGCGCGGGTCGTCCGCGGCGCGAGGCCAAACAATTAGTCGGGCAGTCGAGAGAAGGCGCGGCTCGGGGGAGACGCTCCTCAGGTCAGGCCTCGCGGATGAACTCGGTGAAGCCGAGCTCCCTGGCGAGGGCCGTCGCTTCCCTCCTGCACCGCTTCGTGCGCGCCGCAAACTGCTCCAGCTGCTTCCGCAAGCCCTGCGGCGGCCCTGCCAGGAAGAACTCGATGCGCGGCGCCCGCATGAGCAGGAGGTCCTCGTGGCGCGTGGCGCGCGAGAGCAGCACGTAGAGCTCCAGCCACCAGTCGTCGTCCTCCTTCTTGCCGTTCCCTACCTCGTGGCGGCCGCAATCCAGGATCACGCCTGGGCGACGTCGACCGAGGGAGCAGCGCGCCGGGCAGCCGACGGCCCAGGGCGAGAGTCCACAGGACCGAGAGATGGTCTGGCCGCGGACTGCTCGCGCCCCGGAGGTCTGGCCGCCCCCGGAGCGCCGTTCCCCCGCCCCGTCGCCTTCGCGCATGGTGCGCCCCTGGCACGCCACCGTGGTGATGACCCTGCCGTGCGAGAAATGCGGGGGGTGTGCCGAAATGGGTGGGGGTGACGCATGCGGGCGGCGGCACTGAGGCCTTCGGTGGAGCTCCCTATGGAGCCACGAAACGTGTGAGGGGTGTGCCGAAATGGGTGTGGGGGACGCATGCGGCCGCGGGCACTGGGGCCTTCGGTGGAGCTCCCTATGGAGCCACGAAACGTGTGAGGGGTGTGCCGAAATGGGTGTGGGGGACGCATGCGGCCGCGGGCACTGGGGCCTTCGGTGGAGCTCCCTATGGAGCCACGAAACGTGTGAGGGGTGTGCCGAAATGGGTGTGGGGGACGCATGCGGCCG